ATTCTTAACGTGAGTTAGGTTTTCCAACCACGGGGCGATACAGGAGAGGTGACAAAAGGGGCCATGTCCAAGGCAGGTTACCACCTTTAGTGCGCGAATCCGCTATTTATTTTAAAAACCCGGCACCCACACAAGAATGGGGTGTTTAATTCACCTAAATTTATGACCATATCTTGAAAATTTTCTCAGTTGACAAGACCAAAGAATGGAGATATTGAGATTCATCAAGACATTGGTTTCATGGGTTGAAAGTTGACCTCGGGAGATGATATAAATTTTTCCTGCAGCGCTGGTGGGTTCATTTTAGCGCTTGTTTGGGTTCATCGTCTAGCCTAAAGTTGGCACGTAAACTTTCACATTACGAATTGGGTGTAGATTGCAACAGTACTGTTACGTGAGGTCCAATTTTTTTCCGAGGACAAAATTTAATATCCAATCTTTTCGAACGAACTCATGTAAAAAGCCTCCGTATATCTGACTTTTTATCCAGAAGGCCACGTACTAGGATGCAGTACTTAAAGGGATGTAACCTAGCATGCTGAGTAAGTTGGCGATGGAGAGATGATTACGTGTTTCAGTGGACAGAAAATCCTCTCATTGACATTGAATGGTCCCGTGTGTTTGGCTGAGCGTAGACTGAGCGCTACGCAGTGAGAGAATTATCCACCATTCAAGGCCAGCGTTAAGTGCCTGGCAGCCACACCCATCATGGTCATTGGGCACTGGTTTTTCTTGTCCCAGAGTCCCGATACGGGGAGACAGCTTTCGATGAAGTGACTGAAGTGACTAATAGTGACTTAGAAGTCATTGCTAAGTGATGAAATGACCGTCAACATGTCACCTTAATCGGATAAAAGGCTATGCAATGGGGGCTTTAGAGGTGAACGGTCCCCCGGCCCAACCAGTAACCCAAGTAGATTGCCTAGTCGGTGTAACTATGGATTTTGATTAGCTGAACTGTCCATGATGGATTACACTTAATAGAGACTTTCCAATGTACCTCATCCTGCACAATACCATTGAAGGGAAGGAGGCCCTCTTTGCGGAGTTATTTATTCGGAAATGCCAACCGACCGGTTACAGACCACCGAACAAGGAAGCGAAACACTAATTCGCACCTTATTTACAAAAACTGGACACTCATCTTCTCCCAAACGCCTCTTCTTGAACTTTCCCGGAGATGCATTGGCTGCACTCATTCGTCGGTCGAATCCAAGCAAATGTCACAAAGTGGCTCCCTGAATTCCGCAACAGATCTCCCATATTCAAAAGACGCAAAGTGAAATTGTACGGACAACACATACTACTCACGTGCCTCCCCATCAGTAGTATCACCGTTACACACATCCACCCCTTAAAGCTCGTCCGCATGACATCGATTTTCATTTACCCCCGTCAGGTCGGCTTCGGCAGCGGGTCTACTCGGCCGCACTTCGGACGTATCATGCCACTTGCGAAGCTGCGTCCCATTCACTACTTTGGATCCCCTACAATCTTGAGTGGTCTAGACTTTTTCCCGGCCGTCGGTGACGACAAGCGGCCCTTGCCATCGACTGCCCAGCTTCCGCGACCCCAGTCTACCCCTCTCAGGATTCTGGTGATCCTTCGACTTGACCTTCGTGCTTATGGGGAACGTTAGGACCTCTCTACTTGCCGTTTTCAGCCTGGTCCCTTACTAAACGGCGGTCAAATTTTCTCGGGGTCTCCTTCTTTCTTCCTGTAGCTCCTCCGGAGACAGTAGCGCCTCCGGAGACAAGCGTGTAACCGGCCACAACCCGATTTCCTGACCGACCGGAAGGCGCGGATGTCAATCGTACATCAGCATAATCGGACGCTTGCCTGTGGTTGACTGTGCGGAAGCACGATGAGCTAAAAAAGCCAACGACAAGCTCATTTCCCAGTTACCTCTTCTGGCCGCAAGCTACTCCTCGATCGTTCGGTTATTACGTTCGGTTAGGCCATCTGTCTGCGCGTGATATGGTGCCGTCCTTAACCGTCTGATACCCAGCTTCTGCAAGCAATTCCTAAACTCTTCGCTCTCGACGCAAGGCCCCTGATCCGTTAGGATCATTTTTGGCACCACATGGTTGGCCACGATGTGATGCGTCACCTCTCCACTGAACGTTGTCGCCCGCTGATTCGGCACGGCTGCCGCCTCAGTCTATTGCGGCAGGTGTTCTATCATCATCAAGATGTATTGGTTCCCCCCGGTTGTCACCGGAAAGGGGCCCACGACGTCAACTGACCACAACTCGCCGATTTCTGAGTCAGGAATGTGTTCCATGGGATGGGTTGCCCCTGTCGTATCCGCTTTCATTAGTTGGCAACGCTTACAGGACACCACATAATCCATCACCTCACTTCTCATACCGGGCCAGTAGGCCTCTGCCGAAGCAGGTCGTATGTCTTGGTGCACCCTGTATGTGCCATTTCATGGCGTTCAACGATGAGATTCCGTCTCAAGACGCGAGGTATCACGGGCAGGGCAACATCTGAATCAGTGGCGTTCCAGGAAATTATGCCAGCTTCATTCAGCCTTAGCCGATCAAAGTGACTCTGGAACGCTTCTAATTCCTTGTCTCCTTCTCCGTTCTCAACATTCCTTCCATCCAACAAGGCGGCTGCAATCTTTTGTAACACCGGATCATGCCGTTGGAGTTGCACCAACTTTCCGGGATCCAGTTCGATGACGAGGCCACTAGCTCCGGTCATGAACTTAGGGACCACATCTTCAGCCTCTGTTCCTGACAGCCAATCAACCAAGTGATTCTCCTTCCCGTGCTAGATTGTGAAGTCGTACTCTTGCAACCGGAGCGCTCAGCATGCGAGCTTCTCGCGAAGATCTCTGGTGGTGATTTGTGATCGGTATCGACATGAAACATTCGCCCAAGCAGATATGGTCTCCACTTTTCCAGGGCCCAGACGATCGCTAAACATTCCTTCCCAATGGTGGAGTAATTCTGTTCAGCGTTAGTCAGGACGCGACTGGCATATTCGATAACCCCATTCCTCTGCTTCAGCACTGCGCCGATACCGCGATTACTGGCATCCATCGCAACAACGAATATCTCTCCGACCCCGGGCAGTTTGGGGTTCAGTTGCTGATCCAACATCCGCGCTTTGACATACACAAAAGCTTAATGAGCGTCTCCGGTCCATTCGAATTTCCGGTTTTGATCGAGCAAATCGTACAGTGGCGCAGCGATCTTGTTGAAATCCTTAACGAACCGGCTGTCGTATGCTGTTCGTCCAAGAAACTGCCGTAGAGACCGCTTTGAATTGGGAATAGTACAACCCTTGATCTTTACCAATTTTTGGGCAGTGGGTTCACTTCTCCCTGACCCACTTTATGCCCCAGCAGTGTCACCGAACTCCGAGCAAGCTGTGTCTTGGCTCCATTTACCTTCAGGCCAGCCTCCCGGATCCGCTTCGATTCAGCCTATAAGTGAACTGGGTGATCTAGCTCCGAATTGCTGTACACAACGATATCGTCTCTGTACACGGTAACATTCTGGAGTCCCTTCGTTACACGAGGCATCANCACGTCTGTTCTACGTCTGGGCTGATCAGGAACGCGTGATGCACGGACTTGTCACCTAGGCTTATCTAGTGCGTCGACAATCCGTCAATCTTCAGTCGATATCCACCAAGAACTCTCACGGTCAGCGCGCAGGGTCTGTGTTCAGCTTGGTTCCCTTTTTGCTTCAGCGATACGCCTGCTCCTGTATAAATCAAACATAACTACTTTTTCCCGTCTACCTCGACAACGGCTCGTATGGTAGCTTGTGTCAGTGCGCTAATCGCGACCCACTCCAGAAAACAGGAGTACTCTAAATTTTCATTTTGAATAAGTGATCGGGTACAGAGACAGTGGTTCTTCCAATGGCCAGTCTTGCCACACATATGGCACTGGCCGGTTCGGACGTGCCTCCGCAATTCCGTCTTTACGGCTGCCAGCTGTTCGGTGTGTTGGTCCACTCTGGTCTGCACTGGTCTCCACTGATGAACCATCCCTCTTCTCCTGAGGCTGCAATGTGATCAGTGGTGCCTTGGGAAGCTTTCGGGCCAGACGCACCAGCTCCTCCACACTCAAGTGACCAGTTGGTCGCGCCAACCGCGATGGGGCACCAAGCGCCGGCTACACACCGACGAACTGGTCGGGCAGCAACTGGTGTCGCGACACTCCTTCCAGCCCCCGGCAAAGCGCGATCCAAAAACTGCTGCAGGCTGGCAAAGAACACGGTCGGCTCAGATCCGGATGCCATCGTGGCCGTCTTGAACGGCCTCATAGCCTCCTGGCGGTCGGCCGGCGTATCAAACACTGCTGCAAGGACTTCCTTCACGGCGGCCCAGTCCATCTTCCGAGGGCCTCTTCTGGCCGCATCCAGGGCCGCCTTCGCGCGGCCCCTGAGGAGGGGCTTCAGCGCTGCCAACTTATCCTGGTTGGTCTCCAGCTCGGCAGCCTCCGCAACCTCCTCAAGGTCCTCCAAGAAGGTCCAAACATCCCCATCCTCAAAAGGTTTCGGCCACGGGATCTTCATCCTTATCCCGTTCACGGCACCAAATGAAAGGAAGAAGGCCTTCGCTGCGGAGTTATTTATTAGGGAATGCCAACCGACCGGTTACAGACCACTGAACAAGGAAGCGAAACACTAATTAGCATTATATCTACAAAAACTGGACACTCATCGTCTCCCGAACGCGTCTTCTTGAACTTTCCTGGAGATTCATTGGCTCCACTCATTCGTCGGTCAAGTCCAAGGAAATGTCGCAAAGTGGCTCCATAAATTCCGCAACAGATCCCCCCTTTCTAAAAACGGAAAGCGAAATTCTACGGACAACACATACCACTCGCGTGCCTCTCCATCAGCAGTATCACCGTTACACCATGACAAGATCCAAGTAATATACCCCATAATGAACGACAATCTCGCAACAAAGATCTCCACAAGAAGGTGACTGCCACGTTGTCAGTGGCTGGTTGGAAGTTGTTGGTCTACATGCGACAAGGTGGCAGCATTTGGGAAGCGAGTCTGTGCCAAAGACAGAAGGTTGTGGTTGAGAGAGCCACTCCTGATTATCTGTGCCGTAAGCTTTATTCACCACTAGCCTGTAAACATGTTTTTCGTCAAGATTAAGTCAGTGAAATTAAACGTTCACGCCGCCGCCTAAAACGCGATATGTGTACTTTTTAATTACTTGGCGTTATCAATCAAAGCTGTCCTCCTCAGTCTCCCAGCTATCGTCTGTCGATGCATATAATGACAATCAACGCTTGCAGATTGAGTCGCGTTAGTCTCTCATGAGCTGGTCTGACAAACGGCACAAAGGCGACTATTTGCTGGAATACGATCCAGTACAGCGCCTCTAGGCCTTATTGCAACTTGTGGACACCACTATCCACTGCATCGGGAGCATAAAAAATCAAAAGAATAAAATGCGAGGAATCAGAGTTGGTGCCGAGAGTTTTGTGGGGTTTGACTGAACTAGGGATTCCTTGGCATCACAATGCTCCTACCTGGAATATCTTTGCGAACGGAATGAAAATTCTTGCATCAAAATCTTGTATTTTGTTCCGTTTATGCTCGAACCGAAAACCATTCTTACCTACGTTCGTGTCTCTGAGAACAACTAAATTGTATTGTCCAGTGAAGCAATCATACCTCTGTGGAAAATTCTGATGGAATACTATCAGGAAGTTCAGGTTGCTGAAAGTAACGCCAGAATGCCCGGAACCTACTGAAACCCTAAAACTCCACCAAAATTTCGGTAGAAAAGCCGGCATGCATTCAGGCCAGTCAATCTTTCGGTCAATTCGGCCGATGAGTGTTCAGGCACGCCAAAGAAGCACCACCGAATGTGATCACCGTTCTGGCATTTCATACAAGCTGGATCTGTGTTGATGAGCGTTTAATAGACGCTTATCGGACAGTTTGGATCACTGTCAGAAAGCGCCCTTCAACTAGCGCGGGGCCGTCGTAACTTTTGCACTCGCACGCACTATCTGGTTTGGATTAAAACTGTTGTGTATCCTTATCGGTGAGTTCTTTTCTGGCAGAAGACACTGGAGTGGGAAAAATTGTTGGATATAACAATTACTTTACAAGCATCACTGGAAACCCTGAATACCTAGATGGAGCTCAGAGGTTTATGCTGGTATCCCGAACTCAATACCGACCTGTTTTAGTCCATCAGGGACGCTTAATATCTTTCGAAACTCTATTGTGCGAATACTGAACGCCACCGAACTAGGGTCTTGAGAATATGTTTCAAAGGTACAACGTGCACCGATCGAAGGATGAGGCAAGGTCTGAGCACAAGATATCCGTTTTCCGAACTAATAAAAGATATGGGTTTTGGGAACAAAAATGTAAAAAGGATCGTTTGAACTGGATAAGAGTTAATTTTGATTTGTTTGACTGGACAGAGAAAGAAATACAGATTGTAGGTGTAAATGCTACTTCCAGGTCACCCAAGTTTGAATGAAGTACCCAATCGTGGGAATCAACTAAATAGCTTGACCCACGAGGCAGCGAGTGGATGTGGACACCAACTGGCTATTCATTCTTGTTTTATCAGAAGACATTCTTCGTATTGCGACCCGTAGCTTTTGCCATATTTGGCTATACCATGGCACATCACCTACAGATAATACTTCATCCACATCAGTGGCTCTACTTTTGGAGAATCGAAGAGTACATTGCTCACTACCAGGTCACAGCATACAGCTTGCGACCGTTATTGTGCCTCTAGGACTCCATGAGGACACGTGGCGTAGGAGATTTCATTAATTTTTGTAGCTCACTGATCGTGATCGCGGTCGAGTTCGCTGCTCCGAAGAACTTGATCGGGGGCGTAGGATGAATCACGAGTGAATAACATCACATCCCAGTTTGAGTCCTATGTAGTGTGAATGACAGGGGGCTGATATTCATTCCCGAATGGGCTTGCGCACACCAGGTGGTGTTACGAACTGCTTACGCTGAACTTTATCTTTCTTTACCTGAATGTCTCATACCCGTTGTAAAGCCAAAGGAATCTATATAGCATAGGCAAGAAGCCACCTGGTGGCCCAAACTGTACACTAAGAACGAATTATCAATTAACTAAGTTACTGTAAGAATTTACAGATCTATTTTCTACAAAATTCTTGTCCCTCCCGTAGTTGTCGGTAATATCATATTTCTTCTTTCTAACAGATGTACATGTATCATGCACTAAAATTAATGGTCCGCTTAAGATTATGTAATCCTGATGGTGATAAAAAAGGCTTGGTTTTTCACAAGAACTGTCTGAATTTCCAGATTATTAGGGATAATCTCAACCTTTAAAACACTCGATATCCGTTCAGTAACAGGATTTTTGATTACCCATGGATTGCAACAAGCTACAGTGTAACAGGCTTATGGGTTTCCCATCTTTGATGTCACACTTTTTATTGTGTTCATGGATTACGCGTACAAGGTTGTTATCCCAAAGATGGGGAAAGTTGCAGGAAAATAAAATTTAGCCCCATTTTTTACAGCCTCATGATGGCTGTCAAAGAAATGAGGGAGTGTTTTCAGCCTAATTCCATCTCATACCTTTGAAGTGAATGTGTACAGAGTCCGGATAACAGAATGGAACACCAATTGGTGAGAGTAAGCATAAAAATGATGTAAAAATGTTTCAGTGAAACTACTCAATGAAGCTTTTGTAAGTTGTGTTTGAGCCTAAACTCGCTAAACCACCTTGCACGTGATTCATAGATGTGTTGTCCATCCAAACACAGCGTTGCATTGACCACGGGCCACTTCCATTGCTATTGCTCGGTGCTAGCTACATTGTTACAGTAACTTTGTAGGAAATTCGTGCTGGGACATCTAATCTATTTTAGAGCCATGGATGCGGAAAACCTGCTGCCAAATTAAAATTAAGGATAGTTTAAACTGCAGAATGCCTGATCCACATGCCGTATACCATTTGCAGCTTTGATCTGGAGACTGGAACCTATGTGACTGGTCAGATGAAATGAAGCGAAATGAAACCAAAGCAAGAAAACCCTTCTTGAAAACTGAGAGGTGTTCAGTATCAAGCGAGCCTATGCACATAAAACAAACTTTACGAAAACTGTTAGTTTGCATCAGCGATGAAATGATGAATTCGATTTGTTCACTCATGTAGCGGTTCCTCCCATTAGTTCATTATTTCTTTTACTGTAAACTGGCTGTTTCTAGTATGCACCTAATCGGATCGGAAATTAATACCGGTATTCTTTTAACTACGTATTCTTGCTCCAGATCAACTCGCGATAGACTGGGAATCAAATAAAACACGTATTCACACGAAATGTTGTACTTTGGGATGATTTGTTGTTTTTACAAATGACTCGGTGGGCTTTCACTAGTCTTGCATGAGCCAACTAGACCGCAGATTGTCCGTCAGGTTGAACAGCAGCTTCTTCTTGTAACTGTTCCCTTCAAGGAAGGTGGATTGAAATGGCGGACCTCTGGGCACCGGGGTCATTCTTACATACAATCGAACTCCAGAAATCGTGAAGGCTCTGGAAAAACCATCGGTGAACATTAAACAATGGACAAGGTATCAAATACACACCGCAGAGTCAGTAACTGTCGTTTATGAACCCCAAGAACAGTGAGCGGTCGTGGGAGGCCAATGGTATGTGGTTTAACTGTAGATGTGAAGAAAAATTCACGAGATAATAAGACCAGCGCAAATTCAGTTGACATTTATTCACTATACTAAGTAATCAGTTGAATATACAAAGGCTGCAATCAAGCACAAAGTACTCAGTGCAGAATACTAACTGCTGATGTATAAACCAGCCAATAAGTTTGTACTGCAACCCTTCTACAGCCCGATTGTCAAGCTCGGCGAACAGATTAACAACCACTTGTAAGACAACCACCCGTATACTCGCATTTTTTTCGGTTTTCGGATGGTTCCCCTTAGGCTTAAGTGCTCAAGCACAACTGATGTGTAGCTTTTGCCTATCGGGCAGAAAATTAACTGTCGAGCGAAGCGTGCTTAGGTTTGGGCAGATGGTTTAGGAGTTGTATGCCAGGGAGTGGGAGGAAGATAGTATAGCACGAGCTGGAATAGAAAGTCGTTTTATGGAACCCTACATGTGCAAAACGGTGTGGGCACCATGGTAATCAAAGCCGGAAGTAAATTATACATGTATTTATTTGAACAAGCATGTACCGGGAAACGCGGACGAGAGGCTCCTAGTTTTGGTCAGCAGTTCTGAAACTGCTTATGGAAGAAAAGAAAAAGTGGCGTGAGAAAGATGATGACCGCACCGTTTGTGCAGAGAGCTTATTTATGGAAAAAGTCACTGGAGAAAAATATATAATCGATGCATTTCCAAGTTAAGATCATTAATGGCTTAAACAGAGTTTGGCGAGCCAGACGGATATGCCGTGTAAGTCACGTGATCCCCTGCTGTGGCTTCACATCGATCGTTATGATTCACGTGAAAGTTTTTGAGCTTTATTAGACAGGCGCGTTCAGTAAGGGGCAAGTTAATGACGTTTCTTCTGAGAAGTGCTGTTGATTTTTTGGTAAACAGCTGAATAAATTCTGGTTCATCAAGCTATGGGCCGGCGCAATTGCTCTCAATAAGTACCTTTAGTACTGAACCAGGGGAATCTAACAAGTAATTTTCAAAATAAGTAAGCTGAATACGACAGGTTTTTTAGTCCTGGTATATTTAAACTGGACTGTAAGTAGCTGTTACTATCTGGGCTAGACCGTTATACAGTAGCTTTGAATTAAGGTGCCAAGAAAAATCAATTTTGAATGATACGCATATGTCAGGTTTTCGGGTACATCGGTCGTCACTCAATCCCATGAGGGAACATCTCTGTCAAGAAAAATCTTTGAGAAGACGAATATTCTTCACTTACAGTCACTTCTATCTTTGAAGCCAAGAGGAAGACACTTTCTGTCTTCAAAATGGCTGACTACCTTTTCACTTTCACTGCAGAAACCCGCAAAGCAATTGGCCTAAGTTTATCACTGGAACGGCAGTTCTAGCAGCGTGTTATAAAAGTGGATAGTACGCTTTTCAGCAATACAAGTAAACTCTGACTGATTTAATCAGGCCGCGAATAAAGCTCGAGATAGCTTCACAGAAACTTTCGTTGCAATCTCATTTGAAAGTAATATGGCCGGAGAATACGACAGACAAATGCCCAATAATTCAATGGTTATTGGGTACCTAACAAGTACAATTGTCGCTCATTGGTTAATAAAAACGCGACGCTAAATGACCTCATTTGATGGTCCTTATGTGGCTTTAGGTGGGTCAAAATGGTTCAAATCGACATAGGTGACTGACGATCGTTCAAAGTGCATATCACATAGCACTTATACAAGATCATTCAATATATGGTACATTCGATTTAGATGAAATGAATTTATTTCAACCTCGCGAAAGCTTTGTAACCTCAGACATGCATGTGAATTCCCACTGCTTCAAAATATAAATCTTGTGGTAGACTTCTATTTGATTATTTTTGTAGGAGAGGTCACGCCCAACCAAGGAAATATTTTTAAATCCCTTGAATGTGTTCGTGTGCGAATGCAGGATCGTACTGGAATGTGTTACCTACCTGAAGTCTGTGGGCAATACCCAGGGTGTTCAGTTGTGGGTCCTCGTGACAATTGTCATAGTGTTCGACGCATTGCTGACGCATTTGTTGTTCCCGGAGCCACATGTCGTACTGATCCAGTAAAGTTTGAAGCTGGCAAATATGATGTGGCTCCACATGTGCGTATTTTAGTTCACCAGATCGCATGAGGGACAACCTATGTTGGTAGTGCTGTGGAGAAATAGAAGACAAAGGTAAACAATTTGAAGGTTAAGAAATAGATAAACAAAAGAATAAAATTTTAAGTAACGATCTACCATCACTCAGCAACACACATGAATTCCACAAGCTAGGTTGTTGAAATTTCGCACTTCGGAACTTGGTATCAGGATAAAGTGGCAACCTGTAACTTGGTGAGCTTGATCCTAAGTGAAAATCCATGCTGTATGAGAGTACTCGAGGTCAGCTGAAAGCACACCGGTTAGATCGATACAGATACTTTTCCACAATACGTGTTGAATGTGGATGTATATAGGAGTGCCGCACAACCGAATATGATGGATCGTTGTTGACAGAAGCCATCCATTCAAATACCGGTAACCGAAAATGGGACGAGTCATGAGAACAGAGCGTTCTAGCTTACAGAATAGTTAGGTCCCCACGATTCTATTCAGACAAGTGGCGATTACAATGTACAGCAGTACTTTGGAAACTTTTCGCGCTTTATGAATGCGCTAAATGTGGCGCATCTGGTTTTTGTCCTGTTCAGCCCAGATAATGCATGGTCTATATATATATATATATATCACTGTCGAACAGTAAAGTGTCGTTTTTGTTGATTTATTGTCATAACAGTTTTTGTTTTGAAAAGAACTAGTCAAAATATTCAGTGTCACCCGCACAACCAACACAGATAAGAATCCAGCCTCTCCTCACAACTATAACCAACAACGAGAAGATGTAAAAACCTCATTGTATACGGCAAAGCAAGATTCCCAAATTAAACGAATCTGGAACCAAGCCTTAGTTTTCAACCTGAGATGTGGTAACGAATGACTGTGATATCCCGCTCATCCCACTTGTTTGTTTTACATTCTCAGTCCCACATGAAGATTTCCTCATGCATTCGTGATAGTGCGTATAAGGTGGCTAAAATCCGCTAAAAATCCACCATCAGTTCTACATTCTTGGCACTCATAAGGTCAGGGTATTCCCAAAAGTTTCATCAAACCCGCTTTCTCTTGAACTTGAAGATGCAAGCAACTGCTGAAGTACACTGATTTGAAGGTTTCATTAGTTTCAACTGAAGAATCAAGGAAATCTTTATCTCTTGTTGCTGTTGTTGTTGTCTTCAACGGAGTCCAAGATTCCTGAAGTTTCTGTTGGAATGGTACTCAAAAGTATATTTCCATGACAGCATATTAACCATAAGGTTTCTGGAAGGACTTCAATATCCCACTGCATGTTTCACAGCTACTGAGGCTGATCAGATGGGTCTGGTCTTCGAGTTTTCGTACGTTTGTACTTTATTCCACCTTTGTAGCTACACCTTGGAGACTATGAAACAAAATTCCCTAACCGATCGCCAGGTGGTGAAATAGTGCCAGATATCCGAAATGCCTCCTGAATACTAATAGTATGAGAGTTAGAACTACCACCACAGATAGGCCTTTTATGAAGACGTGTGTAGAGATTCTAATGCACTTGACAAACGTCAATAGAATTGTGCTTTTTCAGCAGGGATCACTTCGAACGAGATACAGAGAAGTTGATCAGGGATTTTATGTAACAAGGGAGTAGACGTAACAAACTGATAGAATGATTTCATTTCGTGAATTTTCTTCCACCAAAAAACGTCTAAAATAGTAAACAAGACAGAAAATAACATTATTTCTGTGAGTCTAAAGCAACCTACTTAACCAATAAAGCCTTGGTCATTTTAGAGTAGCACTCAGTTGTTTCTGGACTCCAACAACAGGTTAAAACCTCGGTTTTGTGGATGCTTGCTTTGTGCTGAGAACTGAAACGACAAGTTGAGTTCACCCGTAACCCGTGTCATCACTGCATATTTTCTTCCAGGATATTCTGGCATTATCACATGAGGCTTGTCCAGACCAAAGCAATCGCAGGGGAAGAAAAATTGGCAATTCACTGTCTGTATTAGTTAGCACGTTGTCTTACCTCTCTCAGCGGTCCACCCATACGCTGGAAGGTGTTTGCCTCAGTCCATTGTATGTTTCTCAAAGAATACTTTTTCACTTACCCCACTCCAGCAGTCCACATGAAAGCCTATTTTTCACCTTCAGACGAAGTGCAAGTAAGCTTTCGTCACTTCAGTTCTTTTCTCAATGACAGAACTCCAGTTCGAATCGAGGGCGTCAAACTGATAGATCAGTCGGCTGATGTTTAGCTGAAGCGCGTCTTTAGTTTGCTCAAGCCCAATGGGGCAATGCCAGGTTGTTCCAAAGAGGGGCGTAGGATCCTGGCGACCAATCACTACTCTGAATGCGACATGCAAATTAGATGGTAGGAAAACAGCAAAATGTTCGAGGAATCAGCTAGTTTGCCTCGAAGCGGAAACATCAGAGCACCTGCCTAAAAACCCCGTACCACGTCGTCCGCTGACCCCTGAATCTAGTATACTTCCCAGAACTGTGACGATCTCAGTTACAAAGCTAAGTGAAACTACGGGTTAAAAACCCCTGTATTGGGTAACAACTTGATAGCGCCTACTCGCATTAAATAGAAAATTTCCGCACTGGTGGATATTGTACATTGTCAACTTGATGAAACCTGAAGTGGCTGGGCTAGTTTTTGTTCACCGTAGCTCAACTAACTGCGTCTGGATAAAAAATGTGCTTTTAGCGAATATACACTCATTTGCAAACTAATTTGGTTTTTCGAGAGACTCACCTGGAACCTAGCTGAACCTCTCACTTGTGATGTTTCCAGGCAACTGAATGTGTTGCACCAGGCTGCCTCATGTTTTAGTCGCTACGATATTCGAGATATGGCGATAGATATATATTTTCCAAAGCACTACTCATAAGGTTGCTGAAAGCTCTTCCACAGCCCACAACCAGCTATGTTCCAGGTGAGTCTCTCGAAAAACCAAATTAGTTTGCCAATGAGCGCATATCCGCTAATTTTGTGCAAGCGGTTTCAAACAGAACATAAGTTTGACGGAAACCCGGGGACTGCGCCTACCTGATGAGCCCCAAGAAGGGCAAAACCGGTCGTGGGCTGTCGACGGATTTTCAGCAACCTCATTAGTAGTACATTACAAAAAAGTACTTTTATTGAGCGCTAACTGTTTCAAAACTTTAGCTCAGCTTGCTAGATTGTGGATTGAGTGGATCGTCGGCCGGCACACTTTGATGCAAACGTTTCATCATCACGATGCAATGTAACAATGTGGTGCGGTCCTTCACTGAGTGTGATGCAGTGCATCGCTCTGCCAAACAGAGAAGCCGATTAAAGTTGCGACTCACTTGCCATGTCATATATTGTGTAGAAATGTAGCTTCGAGAATGCGGCCACATCACGTGACCCATCCATACAGAATCCAAAAATGACGCCTTCAGGCAAGGGAGCAATACTTATGAAAAGAACCGGCAAACCCTGTGACATATAAATGAAACAGGCCTTCAAGACCTGAGGTTTTTACATGAGGCTAACAAGATTGAAGACTGAAAGATAAACCATCTGATTACCGGCAAAACGTCAAGTTGATACAACCAAAAAGGTGATAACAAAGGTGAACCAATATAGTATCGCTCTGTTCGGTTGATTTTCATTCGTAGAAACTCCTAGGATTCGCATTCCATTGCTTTTGTGGCTCAGATGGTTTGCCCTTTAATGGCTACATCTTGGAAACAAACAAAAAAACAGTGACGCAGATAATCCAAAGTGGATGTCACGAGCGAAAATCACCTACTTCAATAGCAGACTTGAATTTTTTGACCATTTCCACCCGTTCGTATAGTCTCTGTTCCAGTAGAATGCCGATGACCTCCAGTTTGCGCAGACGGTCCTCATAGGCTTGCCAGTCAGCGTGATCGGACTGACTTTGAAGCCAGTTGTCTGTTTCGACTAGCAGGCTGAGAAATCTAGCTCGTTCGACTTCATCTACGAATGCTTGGAGAGGACCTTGAATTTTTTTTATCATTTCCTCGATGTACTCTTTCATTGTTGATCTTGTGACTGACAAATCCAGGATGTATTGTCGTTGCTCCTGTGAAACAAAAGTACAACAACGTTTGTTCACAAGTACGGGATGCAATACACTAAAGATTTGAAAAAGAGACAAGAGAAGATGTCAGTGTTTTAGCCTATGTGTTCACTGTATCGGTAATTGGTAACGACCATTCCCGTTTCCATCAGTCCAAGCTTACAAAGTTCTTCCGGAAAAAGGATGATCATCAACGACCCCAGCCAGATTTGGCGTATTAACTGGACTGTCAGCGAGCTTATTTGAATAGTGAAGTTATCCAGCAGTGGATGTTTTAAAGCAACCTTTTTGTGTGCGTGCGTGCACTGAAAAAAAAAACATCACGGTAACCATGACACTCGCATCCCCGAACCGTCCAGTGCGACTGATAATCTTTTCCTTAGCAGTTGATTGATGAACATTCACACAAACAAACGGCATTTCTTATAAGTGTTGTTTTCGGAGCATTGCTCGGGTCTGGTGGGAACACCAGATCAGTAATGCTGTGGTCTGTGGAATAGTTTTAGGAAGAAATACCTAGCTCATGATAGATGAACTGACCACTCTGCACAGGCCAGCTTGCCTAGTCGCATCCTTAATGACGCCCGTGCATCCAAGCTGTTGCCTTCAATTCAGCTGGCCTAGTCGCATCCTTAATCGCGCCCGTGCATCCAAGCTGTTGACTTCAATGCATAACTCCTTTTCAACCTCTCACTTAACAGTCCAAGGTTTACACACCAATTTATCGGCTCCCAACGCTCCATTGCGCAGCTAGCTACCCTACCTCCCAAATCATCGGTGAAATAAAATGCGGCAGCTACAATATTTGCACAACAAGTACACGGTTCTAACAGCTGACAATGATGGTGATGATGATGATGATGATGATGATGACAGTGTTGGCTTTGAGAACGTAGCAGCATAAACAGTAATCTGTGGCCTGGATATCATTACACTTGTTCTTACTTGTACTATCGTGCTTGCAATTGTACGACTGAGCACTTGGAGGACCGATACTCAGACAGGGTTGTTGCCCATGGTAACCACACTTCTGATATGCTTGCACGGGGCTTTGGAGAAAATCTCTTCAGTTTAAGCTCTTTGGTGGAACATAAGCGGTGTACCTTTGTATGATGGCAAAACAGATGTGAGAGCAACCAAACAAACCAAACGAACTCAGTGTTGTGGGTTGGGGTTTGGGAACGCGCTTGTTTGGACTGCGAAAGCAACTCTGTGACTATTCGGTAGATGGAACAACAATGGCTCCTCTGGGTCATACGACAATTCCAGCTGGCAGTACCAGAAAAGTAGAGAAACATTTATCCACGTACAACTGGTTTGTTCTAGCGCGCTTCCAATTAATTCTGAGATATCTACTGATATAGGAAAGAAACCGAACCTTCAGGTCATTGCCTAGTTTCGGTTTCAACCGAAAAACAGTAGATTGCATTCATGATATGATCCCACTTAACCCCTTTTGGAATCGGGTTCAAGAACGGTAAATTAGCAGCTTGAAGAGTTTTATTTCATTGATGCCATTTGCCGTTTGCCGTTCAGCGTTGGGGCATCGGGATATAAAGAACAATATCTATCTCGCTGTTCAACAGAAAATAACGACAGAGCTTGAGATCCTACTTCTGAGAAACAGCCAACTCACGGGATTTACGTAAATGGACTTTTTTGTGGGTCTCTTTTTGATGAGACATGTTTGTTAAAATAGACTTCAAATTGCTAGTAGTCTGTTTGAGAGACTAGCCTTGTTTTGAAGGATATATGGGTGAAATAATTATGGATTAGCTTCCAGTTAAAGAATGTGAAGGCGCGTCTCTCAGTCCGCAAAAAAATTTATTAGGGGCTACAGAAGTACAGCTTTATTTTTCTATTGATTTGACTGGACTTCTAATCTGGATCACAAACAGACAGTTTTTTTAGTCCCACAGTTTCCGTTTTCTTATAAATGGCAAAAACTTCTACATACGCAATATGGTGAATATACTGGATATTCTTAAAGCTAGATGATGTTCATACAGTCGTCTGTATTGGAAAAGGCCGTTACTTTATTCTGACTTTATTCTCTTCCCAACCAAGAGTTGATAAACTCCATTATTGCGGTTAAGATTTCGTCCTGTAAGTGAAACCAATCTATGCTGAAAAGCCGAGAAGCACTGTACAGCCGTTTCATCCTTATTGGGAACCATCAGCAGTGCGCATCTGACGAAACTCCGAAGATTCTCGAACTCGCGAACTCCTGGCTGGTAGTTTAAACACTTACCCGTTCAGGTTAACTCGCATTTAGACAGGATATAACGCCGCTCACTCTTCAATCACACGATCTACATCACGCGGTCACACGTGTTGACTGCCTCTTCGAGCAACCACTTGTCGGATGGAAATTTCACTCATCGGGTGAAGTTTATTCTTCCACTGAGCTACTTATAGATTGTTGGTAGTGTGAGGAGATTTGGGCTTTTTGTGTGGAAATTTTGTTCTGCGATCGATCGGAGCTATATGCTGTCTAACTGCTAGTTAATCACACTGTTGATCAGTGGCTCGTGGCCGAACGGTTAGGTGTTAAACTACCAGCCAGGAAGTCGCGGGTTCGAGACTCTCCGGGGTTTTGTGAGATGCGCACTGCTGATAATCCCCAATAAGGATTAAACAGCTGCAGTGCTTCTCGGTTTTTCAGCACAGATTAGCTTTACTTACAGGACGAAATAGTTCCTACTGTGTTCGTTAGAGTAAGAGGAAGGTGAAAATTTCCGACCATAATCATTCAGATTTAATCATTGTGATATAGCTCTACGTATCACGAGAAAGCAATAAAAAACAGACGTGGGACCATTATGTCATGTTGACTTACTCACATTCAATGTCCCCGGATGCTCAAGACCGCTTTCAGAAGGATTCTCTTCCAGCGTCACAGATATATTCTGGCCATCAACAATCGCACTCCATGCCACCTCGAGCGCCTGTGTTTATGAATCCAAGGGTCGATGGAACAGATATTGTGAGTAGGCTTTGTGAATTTGATATTCGAATTGTTCTTGAAAAGTACTGAGAATAATAGTCAGTGTTTCAAAACAGTCCACTTATTCGAACAGAAACGTTCTGTTATCGAGGTAATCCATCGGCTGTGACCTTTTATGGATTACATACAAGGTAGATACGAGCTACAAAGTTAATGAAGGTAACAGAATTACATATGCAGTCACTTGTGAGATGGCGGCCCAAGACGTCGCTCATGTACAGGCTCGTGCTGGAGCTTCGATTATTTGGAGTAGCTTGTGATCAACAGCTTTGAGGCTTGATAAATTCTCAGGGAGTTATGTCCAAGAACCAGAAGGAATTTAGGTTTATTCATTCAATCTGTTTCGTAATTTTATGGAGCTGGTTGGCTGGTTGAGTGAGAAGTGAAGTACCACGTGATAAAAACCACATAATTCGCCAAAGAATACGAAAAATGTTCGAAAAATAACGACATATGCAGGGTGGTGAATTCGGTCATCACTTTACTGCTGGATGCAATCGGCCGCATCGTTGACCGTCAAAGATGTAGTCACTTCCCTCTAATAATTGCAGTAACTGAGGTTGGTTACCAAGAAACCATTAAAGTGAATCAGGGGTTTTGTCAGCTTTTTCAAGACATCGTTTTTTTTAAAGTTGTCTTCGGCTCCAGATTTTGCAACTTTCTTACTAGGCCAAGACTAGTTTCCATCTTGTTCTACTATGTGTATCATTTTAGTATCGATCTATACAGTTCCAATACGCTGGTATCCCCTCGTTTCGCTGTCACCTGAAGACTACACAAGCATTTACGTGTTCATGGTTAGGTGATGGGATGCAGTAGGGTGGATGGATGTAGCATAGGAAGGGGCAAATTCCAAACTGATGGAAAAATGTTCTTGGACCTAAACAGAAACGTTCATTGGTATCGCTGGGAACAATCAATATTTGTGCAACAATCTCACACACCTGTTACTTCCTCGTCAACGATCAGGACAGTTTATTGTATGAGCATGTTTAGGCTAGTTTTTGAAATAATTTCTTTGTATAGTAAGATAAGTAACTGCTCAAGAAATGCTTTCGTTTGGACATCCAGCAGAATTTTCACAATGGCGACTATACTTGTAGACGACAGTTAGGTTGTTGAAATCGGTAAGCAAAGTATGTGAACAATGTTGAAATATTGGCTGTCAGCTGCTATCATACGAGCCATTCGATTGATTCGCTTTCAGTTCATTTTAAAAGACAACTTGAAGGGTGATTCCGATAATAGAACTGCAAAAAGAGTGATGTTAGGCGTAGAATCTGCTATCTACTACAGCGGAACTCACTGATGGTGTGCTTGCACTTTCATCTCAGTTTTGCATTTATAGACTTTGACAGAATCCCGTTCATCAGATTGCTGAAAACTCTTCGACAACCGGATGTACGTTTCTTTGGGCTTATCAGGTAGACACACCTCTCGGTTGTTCGTCAAACGTATGTTCTCTATCAACCAAATTGGCGAACTGAACTCATTTACACGCGTTTTATTTGAACGGGAGACCAACGGGATCCAGCTGAATCTCTTGTTTGTGGTGTTCCACAAAGCCGCCTCATTTTTCAATTGGTACGATGTTCTGGATTTCACAGTATATTTAGTGGACGAAACACCAACTCGTGGATTTGTTATTCAGGGACAACACGCTTCGTGTTGAGAAAGTTCGACCAGTTTCTGGATAGTCTAGCTAATCAGAAAATTTCATCTTCACTTGGAATATCGAGAATAGTAATGTGAAGCTTGAGTACCCGGGTTATGCTCATTGGATTATGAACCAGAACGCCACGTTTGCGCGGACCGTTTAAATAGCCTGTGAGAAGTGCCTGTACCAAGCAGTGGAAAATTTACTTAACCATTTCAACCATTTGGCACCCTCAGAAGTAGACTGAGTGGCACCATGTGCAGTTACAGATGTGTTTTCAAGTAAATTGAGTCTTGTTTCATAGTCTTAGAAAAACACTTATCTTTAGTTTGAAGTTGCGAAATTCAAAGCGACGAAAGGGGAGCCGCTATTTTGTTCAGGTCATTCATACTCTCCCCCTGAAAGAGGTCGAAATCCCAAAGGGTCTTATGTTATTGGGGTTTCGGGCAACCAGTGATATCTTTTCAAGAAATATCTGAGGTAGTTCAACATCTTTGACTTCATGATAATCAAATCTGTCATAGGGATCAGGTAAAAAACGCCTTCACAGCTCACGGTTGGTCGACAGATAGGTTGAAATGAGTCGCTTACAGTTTACCTGAATCTCTAGAATAAAAAGGCTCAAGCAAAAATCTTTGTAGTTTGTATTTTTTAGGTGTCAGCGCTAGATAGCAATTCTTTGTCGGGTTCGGACACAAAAATTTCGCCTTTCGAACTGGTAGAAGATATGACTGCAATACAAAACACTGTCGGTATATTAGGTCACTGGTGATTTGGTTCCCACGAGTACATAACACGAATATACGTCAATCAGGTGACAAATGTCAATCTAAACGTGCATTCCTATAAAGCACTGGTAAAGAATTCAGTGTCTGGTTGAAGCCAGAAGGACCAACAAACAACTGGTAGCAGCGGTTGACTTTAAGAAGTAATTGAAGTCTTCTAGTCTCTTGTCAACGACTTCAGGTAGATAGACGTATTGCGGACAAATCATTCCATTCCATAAAAATCAGTCATTTAGCTGTTTTATGCCACTGCAAAGGCAACTCCAGAAAAAGGCGTTGTCAGATAAACTCGTGAAATGACTGCGAGCAACCAAACAGTGTCCGAAACGAAACCGCGGTCATTAGCAACACCGACGAGCAGAGCACATCTGCCCAAAACTTCTTTTTTAGAACTAGCATCCTTGAAACACTGAGCCAGTCTGAAAAGTCTTTTTATCATTCTTTATTATTAGAAAATTTTAAAACAGGACCCCAAAATGAATGCAAAGTATGGCGAAAGAACTCCTTAGTTGGCATTACCGCTTCAATAATGCGATGATTTTGATATTCTGACTTCTATATTCTGGTGTTCCCGGTCCATAACGAATATGGTTGTGAATTCTAAAGACGTGTTCACGTACTACTCACGCGATCTTTTTTCGACCAGAATTTCATGAATCCTCGCTCATACCAACGATGTCCCACTTTCAACAAAGAGATTGTTTCTGTGAATTTGCTCAAAAAATAATCAGTATCGCTATAATTTGATTCAAAACATGGAATTAGTAGCTTGCCTGCTTTCCAAGGGCACTGATTTTTTAACTTTAGTTTTTGTGCATGTCAATCTTTTTATGATGGATTGATTATTAAATAAGGTGTATCTTCATTTGGCTTGCTGATGCGAACTACTAAGTACTTTGGTCACTTTCTACATTGTTCATGTAAGACGTAAGACGACCAAAGTGTTCCCGTAATTTACTCCCATGACTAATTGGTTTCGAATAACGATATCCCTTTCCATGTTTTTATGTGGAGCCAGACATCAAGCGCTGATAGATTTTATGAATTATCTATTTCGGAACCAAGAAAAGCAGAATGGAATCAACCCTGATGGGCACTAATAATTTTCAGCATTAAGCAGCACTGGGGCGAGATGGCTCAGGTGACTAGAGCGCGAATTTACTGACCAGAAGTTCGATGGCTCGAACCCGACCTCCGCCTCTCGACTTCCCCTGTCTAGGCTTGGGCAACCTGACAGTATCCCAGCCCTTGTGAAACCTTTGGGTGGCATGGCAGTCAGGTACCGAAAGGATATTAGAGCACTACTTCTTCGGCGTCGAATGGTGTTCATCACTAGGCATATGTAGTGGAACCATATCAGTTAATGATTTGGAAAATAAAAGTGTAAAAATGTTTTTACTACTAGCAAGGGCTCTTTTGTCGCTCAACTTAGAAGACTTCTAATGTGATCAGTTGGGGTGAATGGTTGAATAATGATAGCGTAAGTGGAAGTGGAGCTTGGAAACAGCCGAAGAGTGAAATAGGCGCGTCTCATTAGACGTTAAACATAACAAGGATGGATTTAAAAGGAAGATAGCTTGGACATTGTGCATCTCGTTTGAATGTTTACTGACTTTGGATGTCCCAATACTTTCATGGCCACAAAAGTTGAAATACGATTTCATATTCAGTAGTGAGGGCATGATGGATGCCTTGTTCAAGTACAAATCAAATAAACACTGAAGGTATCCTTGTAGTTTTTCGGGTAGTTATTTTAATTCGGATGACATCTCGATAGATTTTGTGACGGTTCACTCCATCAGATACAGTAAGTCGTGTGACCTTCCAAAGAAAAACATCTGATAATATCGTTTATCAAACGTTCTTACATGCTGATGCGCTACGAGTTGTGCCGTTTTAAGCGCGAAGTCCTCGGGTACCTCGGCCTCTTCATACTGATGGATTTGGAACCATTTCTCGTACTCTGAGACCAGTTGGTCCAAGCGAATTCTCCGCGTTTTTGGAACAGGTTCAGTTTTTGTATCGGCCGCAGAATATTGTAATAACCACTCGCGCATAAACTGAAACATCGATTTTACAGGTCAGCATGATATTCTTTATAGTGAAAACACATAATATCAGTTGGACAAAAACTCCAACTAGCTTACTTTGTTAGTATCACTCTCACCATAATCAGCGATAACGACGTATACTGTCAGCCTTGTCCAACAGCTAGGTGTCTCCGAATAGCACTCAGAAAGATACTGGGATTCAGCCCACCTTGCGTGTCAAACGAGTTGCAAACCATGCTAGATCCTATAATGGACATCCCAGTTCACTAGCGTAAACAGTTCAGACAGTTTCAAGACTTCCTTTGAGGCCATTATGTGCTGAATTCTATTGCGATCCCCGTTTCTGGTCGTCGTAAACAGATGACATTGTTATTAGATGTCTTTCTACAGCTCATGCAACATATGTGTAAGGAAGTTCACCTGCTCCGTGTGCTATGGAACTATAGTAACGTTCATCTTCACTAAAAGCGTACGTTTCAAATGGCTCATCATGTATAAATTGTCCGATGACAGATGCTCACAGAGACATTTCATTTTTTTGAGTTGTGATCTATAAGACAAAAGGATCCAGAAATCTGGTTGTTCATTCATTTTCAAAACATCAATTGCTTAAAGTTGATTCAGAAAATGTAAGAATTACTTTATTAATCAATGCTGCTGATGCAAGAAACAACAAATAGGAGTATTATTCAATCGTAGAAATCCAGGCGTGCTTCGCTGAAGACAATTCCGCGTTAAAACGATTAGAATCTGTTGTTGGTGTACACGGTTTATGGTCTTTCCCGTCGCCTGTCACCGTAACGAGTTTTCGTTTTCAGATTGTGTATCATGTGGTGCGTCAGAGGCAGCCAGTCTGAGCATTACGAAAAATGTGCCATTCTGATCAGCATAACTGCCCAATATTTGAACAACGTCGGAAAGTTGAAAAATTTAATGTATTAAGTTAGTTCCAGTTGAAACTCCCAAGAGGAAGTCTTTATAAAGTTTTAGTGCAAATCTCTAGCTGCAGCCAAATGATATATTTTTTCACACAGTTGGCAGTAAAAAAACAACATGGATGAATGCTAATGTGAGAGTGGACGCGACTGTTCGGCTTACTTCAATAGTCTGTCGGAAGTCTCTCAAGGCCACCTGCCTTTCAATCAAACGACGTTCCATCGGGATAAACAGGCGTCTGAGTCTGCCAAGCTGTTGCGCACATTGTGCGTCTCCCTCGTCACGAAGACACTTTTCAGTTTCATCCAGCAGTTTCAGTAGCTTCCTTTTCTCCTCGCGGGTAACAATCTGATTTAGTGAGGATTCCATCTTGTTGCGTACGGTTTCCACAAATTGAGCGACAGCCTGTTTCACATCTGCTACAAATCTCAACTCCTCTTCCCAGTGACTTTCTGCATCTGACTATCCGTAGATTCGTGTAACAAAAAATAAAATTTGTTTTATTTAATTAGGTCCAATAAACTCACAATAACAAATTATTATTATCGGCAACCAATTTTTAAACATTATAAGTATCAGTATTTTAGGAGTGATGGGTTTTCCCCCCTCGTTTCGAACAACGGTTCAGTAATTGTCGTGGTTGTATCGATCGGTGTCTGTGAGGATTTCCCAGTCAGGAGGCATCGGGGAAGCTTGAAACTTGCTGAACAGTTGTTGATTAGTTGTAGAATTAATTGAAATTACCACACACACCACACTCATTTGAACAGTCATCCGTTCATTCTAGCACAGTTATTCTGTTGTCTTCACACCAGAGGACGAAAGCTCTGAACTCACCCCGAATATCAGATGTCTGGGGTGGAATTCCCGACACAACCAGGGATATGCACTGCTGATGAGCTCTGAACTTCTGGTCCTGTAGTTGCCCCCCCCCTTGGTGTTAAGTCCTTAAAATAATTACACCGGGACAGGAGGATGACTTTTAAAACGAATGATGTGAGCAGGAATTCAACGAATTCTGCGACCAAGTACAACTAATATTTTAAACGACAGTCTTTGTGTAATCCACGGCAAATTCTTTCGGTTGTTCAATAAATGAAGATCACATCAATAAATACATTAGTAATCAGGTAGCAAAACAGTATTTATGTCAGCGTTATCAACCGGTTACTATCAAACACTCACTAGAAACAATAGCTTTTACATTTTCCTCATGGTTATTGTCCCTACGTCCCAATATTTCAGTCTTCATCAACACCAGTATCATCATTTTTCCCTCCCTTTAGCAGCACCGTCATACATCATGTTGTATACATTCCACGTATGATACATGTATGTACCATAACATATATTAAGAATTTTATCCATATACTATGATATGTGTTTATGGCAACTGCAGTCCTCAAAGAAAGCACCAACAATTAGGTATGGAAACCAAAATGCTTTATCAGCAACAGTAACGTTAAACATTGTTGTTTGAAAATTTAGTACTCATGGGATTTTTTTCCGTTGGATTCCCATGTCCGATATTTTGAGCATTTTCAGCTAGCTGCAACTTCCAGGAATACAGACTTTTTAAGCGCATGATTATTATTTCTGGGTAAAATTTGACAGGAATAGTACAGTTGGCTCCGGAATAGGACGCAAAAGTTTGCCACTTTAGCATCGACTGAATATTCCAATCAGTGAAAGAAGAAAGTTTACGAAAGAAGATTCGATTTTAAAGGCCTTTACCAGATTTATAGAAAAAAGCAAACAGAATGAGGAAAACTCCTTTTGTGAGATACAAAAATTCTCAATAAAATGGTGGTAACACTTCATAGTAAAACTACGTTCTGAGCTTTTTGTACACAATTCTGCTTATAGGCAGCGTTATTCGATAACGAAAAGAGATTTTTGTGAGGCTCCAAATGAAGGATCTAGTTACATCTAGCATGACTGAAATTTACGTCTAGGGGCGGACGCTTGTGGGTTGTTGTG